TGTGTGTGTGATGTGTGTTTGAGGTGTGTGATGTGTGTGTGATGTGTGTTTGAGGTGTGTGTGATGTGTTTGTGTTGTGTGTGTGATGTGTTTGTGATGTGTGTGAGGTTGTGTCTCATCTACAGTGACATCACTAACACGTCTTGTGATTCGACACACGAGTGTTTTTTGACACATGCAGGAAGTTTCTCTTTGTTTCTCGTTGATAAAACTTCCCACTGAACTGAAAGTTTCTGTTCGTCTGCAGTAACTTTCTCTTTGTTGGTGTTTTGCTTCAAAGCTTCAGATTTTAATCTTTCAAATGAGACTTTTTAACTTCACAGTTTGAAGGCTGGAGATTAATTTATCCAAATTAAAAGAACCTTTCCCAGATAAACATGCGCAAATCAACATTCTGCATGTTTCTCATCTATTCTATTACATTTTAATGAACTTTTAAGTCTTATTCTATTTCTACAACTTGAATTACTCATTATTTTCATGCAGGATGAGACGGACCAAACTCATATCATTTCACTTTTATTTAAAACATCACAATAGAAAAGAAAATGACATATTTCTGAGTTTCTCTATTTACAAAAAGTCATTTTTAAGCGTGTACAGTCGACATGGTTGAGTTCTCCGGTCTCGATGCAGCTGTAGAAGTTGAGTCACAGGTTTGTTCAGCTTAAATCACAAAGCTGCACAGTTCATGTTATTTTAAAGGCACTAAGAAGTGACAGCTGCTGTACAACATCAAACTGTAATTCAACATTCACAGCAAAATCATAAATAGCTTTTGCCTTTGGCAGCGATCGACAGCTCATTCGTTGCTGATTTTTTTTTTATACATATGAACAGACTTACAAACTAAGGCTTTTCAATAAATACAAGCACTTAAAAAAACGTTGCACAGTTGTCAAGTTTCACAGGAATGTAACAAAAATGTGCAACCAGGTTGCAACAGGAAAGAATTAATAAGGACGACCGAGCCTCGTAAACGGCTCAGCTGCATTTCAAACGTCTGCAGGTTTCAGGACGTTTAACAAATCAAACCTCCGGTGATTCTTATGGCTCACATAGCTACAAAACACACTTTGTAAAATATCATTGTTCCTCTGTGGCATCAAGTGTGAATCTGAGTTTCCACTTCCTGAGAATCTGACTGAAGCACCGTCTGAAATCATTTCCGTTTCAGCAGAAAACTCTCAAAAATACCTGATCGGTACGAAACGTCATCTCAGACCTCGATGGTTTTACAGGAATAAAAAAAATCCTCAGTGGAGTCGGAGACGAAACTTTTGTCTCGACGTCTCAAACTGTTCAGGGTTCAGACTCAATCACAACTTTTTAAATTAAAAATCTAAGAACTTAAAATCCTGACGATCTCTGAAGTTGCAGTTTCATAAAACACAGACTACAGCGAGCGACAGGAACTTAAATCTGAACTTAGTGTTAAAAAATAAAATCAAAACTTGCTACATGAAGTTCCTCTGACCAGGAGCTGACGTGGTCCGAGAGGTCGCCGTCCGCTTCAGGTGGAACTGCGGAGAGGTAGCGTTGACAGCCGGTCGTGTTCCATCCTGCTCAGGGATTGGTCGGTTTCTCTGTGCTGTTGGGTGGAGTCAGGATCGCTCCGACGGCGACCGGCGACATATGACAGTCGGGGTCGTCCACCCGACGCTCCTGAGCTTTTCTCTGCAGGACAGAAAATAAAAATCAATATCCGACAAGGAAAGAAGAAGTCGTCTTTATTCCAACCTAAAGAAAAATGAGCATCAACCCTTCGTTTCTGTATTTTTCTGACGTGACACGATAAAAACTAGTTGGAGCAAAAGAAGTAGTTTGGTAGACGATCGTAGTTAGTTTGAAACCAGTGGCTCACCAGCAGCTCCAGATAGGACACGTGCGTCTGGATGTTGTGTCTGTCGTCGGCTTTGACTCGGGGGAAGTTCTTGAGCTGGGGCGGGGCTTCAGATTGCAGCGTGTCCATGAAAGGAGACATCCACCGGACGCAGGGCGCCACGCTCTCCCACGTCAGACCTGGAGATACACACAGACGTCAGGATTCACGCTCCAGATCTCAACAACGAGTGAGCTTCACGACAAAAAGGTTCAAGTATCAAACTGTTTGTCAACAACTCGGTGATGAGTTCAATGAAATCGGTGAACGTTACGTTTACTAAACTTAAACTTCTGCATATCAGATCAAGCGCTTCCCACAGTCAGCCACCAGGGCGCACTGGCGCCTTGCTGGCGTCCATTTTGTTGAGACACCTGGTCGGAGATGAAGTGATTCTGATTCAAGTCTTATTTTGATGGAAAGATTTGTGCTTTAGCAGAAACGCTCCGTGACGTAGAAGTGAACGTTTCAACGTGTTGATCAAAACAGAATGTGTACACTGAATATCTGATCAAAAGTCTAAAGTACAAGAGGCGAGAAAATCAAACCCACCCGAGACTTTATGGACGACGTCGAAGGTGGAGAAGTGGCAGAAGGCGGCGGCAGCGAGGACGCTGTAGCCATAGTCCAACGAGTTGATGTCCATCAAACTCAGATCCAACAGCTGCGACACGGAGGAAAAACTAAGTTACGTCATTTTAAAGAGTGAAGAGTTCTGAAAGAGGCGACTGTGAGGAGCAGCTGCCACGTACCTGTGTGATCTGGATGTACGTTTCCTGTGAGAACTGTGGCACCAGGAAGTTCTCGTCGTCTTTCTGGGCTTCAACCTGAGCGTACAGCTTCAGCCAGGAGATGGGCGTCTCCGGACAGAGGTTCCAGTCCAACGCCTGCAGGATGACAACGTTAGCACACAGGAAGAGGCGGAGCTACAGGACACTTCACTTCAGAGTTTGTGTTGTCGTACCTTCAGTATGTGAAGCTCTGTGCGCTGGATGTCCCACATGTCGCAGGCGCCGTCTGTGACGTAGGCGAACTCGTAGATTTTGGGCGGGTAAATTTCCTGAGGAGAAAAGTTGAGGTTAAAAAAACTGCAACGACACAAACATTAACACGTTGTGATCTACTCTCGTCAGGGGGCGCACCTCGATCTTGGAGGCGATGAACAGCGCCGTGATGCCGATGAGCTGCAGGTAGTCTTTGTTGACGTTCTCCTGCGTCAGCATGAAGCGGTCAAAGAAGTCCTGCGCGAGGTAGGCCGTCTGCCGGTGGAGGCTGTACACCTCACTCACCTGAGCACGGTGACAACCAGCTCGTTATTCAACAGGTCGGTAAAATCAAAACACGCTCTGTTTTTAAAAGAACCCGAAACTAAGGAAATGATTTCCGTCCTCTCACCTCGAGCAGCCAGTCCAGCAGAATGGCCCTCATGTTCGGCTGCAGCTTGGGATGCCGCTGCAGGTAACCCTTGTCGTGGACGTACTTCAGCTCCTTGTTGAGCATCTTGATCCACACGTCGTCTGAACTGGCCCAACTGGAGGAGACAACCCGTTTTAGTCTTTTTCTTCACGAGTGTGATTCAGTCGGAGACACAGAGCAGCAGACACGTCCGAACATTCTGCTCAACATAAACTGTCTCTGAGATTTTTGTTCTGCGTCCGATTATTAAACTGTTTCATTTTTATTTTCAGTTAAGATCTGGAACAGAAACAGGACTTTCCCATGATAACATGAACATGAAACAGTTATTATACATCAACATACAGATCAAACTGTTTCCTGATTATAAATCTCAATGACAGATGAGAAATACAAACGTAGCATCAACATAATATAAATAATATAAACTGTATGTGAGCTGCTGTAAAACCAGATTCATCCCGTGTGGATCATTAAAGTTGACTCATCGATCTGATTCGGACTTTTCTCAGCTGCAGTAGTTTTATAATATTGTTTGTTAATTTTGGCTGCGTGTAGTTTGTGTTGTAGTTCTGATGAAACGTCTCGATCTTTCCTGGTGAACGGGGCTTTAAGCTCTGAATGCAGAGTCGGGTGGAGTCGACAGCTCAGCAACAAAAGACAGAGCGTCTCAGCAGGACGCGTGGACAGGAGGTGTAAAGCACAGTCACCTGAGGCGGGGGATGGGCGAGGCCTTGATGAAGAGGTTCTTGAATATGTACTGTTTGAAGCTGGACGGGTCCGAAGGCTCCAGCTCTTTGTGGGGAGTTTCTATGAGCACGCACGGACTCGCACCGTCCTCTGACCAACACTTCTACAAAAGAAGAGGACAAAGAAAGAAAGAAAGAATAAACATGAGTGGTTCAGACATCAGCACCCCCCCCACACACACACACACACACAGCAGACTGGAATCAGCAGCAGAAACAAAACAGTCAAATAAATAATGTAATTTGAATTAAGCTGCACATATGGATTCAACAGCAGAGGCTTGGAACAGTTTATTAAAAAAGTGATAAGATTAAAAATAATAATTTAATGATTCAACTGGAAAAGGCTCAACTGCCGTTCTGGCTAAATGGCGCCACCTTGTGATGAACACGAGGTAGTGCATAGTTACAGATGAAGCTGCCTGAAGTTTAAACCTTCAGATTCAAACTCTGTAAAGAAACATAATGAACTTAAAGTGAAGTTAATGTTTATTAAACAATCCAGAGCAGAAGCACAGGAGACGACTGGACCAGAGACAAAGAACAAACCAAATGTCAGAGACGCTGTGTATAAATTACAGAAACAAAATGGACGCCCTCATTATAGGACACTGCACTGAGAGGATAATAATATATGAAATGAAAGTTATTAAAACACATGGATGTGGGTGAAACCACGGTTCTTTGAGAAGAAGGAGGAAGAACAAATCCCCGATAACAAACTGTTATCATCCTGGGCTCTGCTCCTTATCATTCAATAACACTCATGTTGTATTTGTGACACACTGACCTGTATTTCATAGCTTTGTTTCTTAGCAGCAGGTTGTAGTTTCTTCTTGGACGGCTGGAGGAGGAATTAAAAATAAACCTGTGAGTCACGTTTGATTGAAAAACAGGAAACAACAAAACCTGAGACAGAACCCCGTCACAGGAAAGAAGAAGATATACAACGAGACACTAACCTCTGATTTCCTCTTCTTCAGTGGTGCTCTGACGGTCGGCTCAGGTGTGTTCGAATCTCTGGCTTGAAGTGTGATGCGACCACTGCAATTAAAAAAAACAACATTAACATCTGAGCTGCAGGTCGAGACGGGCAGGGCGCCACATAGGAAGTCACGAGACAGATGAACTCCTCTGTTGTTTCTAAGTGGAGACATTACAAATCAGAAACTCCTCAAAAGATTCAAACGGATTTAATTTAAAGTTTAACATCGTAGGAGAAAACCACAAATCTCTGTGCTCAGCTTCTCAAGCGACTGATGATGTCAGTTTTCTGTCAACATGATTCTAAAGTGAATATCTGAATAACTTCACTTCTCCCTTTCTGACGGTTCAATGATTACGTCATTTTTTAAACTGTTTCCTGCACAAATGAAATGTTCTGGCTGAGATGTCCTTCAAAAACTAAAATGGAGGTGAGTGTGTTGGGTCTGGTGATGATGGTGCATGGCTCTGACCACATGTTCAACCCCAGCAGCTGCTCACCTGCGTCTGGACATGGTGTCGACTGGATTTATTCCTCTGCTGCAAAGAGACAGAAGAGGAACAGGTGAGACATTTGACTCTGATGTCCCAGAAACACAAAGTGAACTCATGGTGAGTCCAGGTCCTCAGTGGCTGCATGTTGTGGAGCCACTGGGCCCCATGGTCTCATGTTCGAGTCCCTAACATCGAGTGATTGGAATCGATCAGAGACCCTGAAGGAAACCAGAGAATCACCAGGAGGAGAAATCTCAGTGTGGAGCTGGTTCCAGGCTGTGGTTAGCTTGTGATCACACAGTGTGTTAGCTTGTGTGAAGACAGTTAAAGTGGCTCCCCAGACACAATAACGATGAACTAATGAAGCCGAACGCCCACAGACAATCCCCTGGTAGCCAGGGTTGAATTCTGACTGTGAGATAAAGAACAAACCAGAGAGAATGAAGATTGAGTGGAGAGTTAGTGGGAGAAGCAGCAGAAGTCTGGTGCTGGGAGCTAGTAGCTGCAGCTCACAGGGAGGGGGGCTCCTCGCTCCCTCGATTTCAAACAAAAAAAAACCCGAAAAAGCTTCGTTAAACTCGGACTTTCTGATCCTCAGCGACGGGCCACACGTCTCCACTGGCTCCTGCGACAGCTGGAGGCTCCACAACCCACAAAACACGAGCTTTATCCGGGGATCCAAACTCAAAGACGCGCCAATTTCAGCGGCTCAGAAGCGGGAGGATTTGAGCCCTTCCTCCCCGAAACCACCTCCAGGTCTGCGGGGGAAAGTGGCACAAAACCCCCGCTGAAGACGAACCGAACCGCCGCCGGACTGAGCTCCACCGGAGGCAGAAATGTCTCGAAGCAGAAAAGTGAAGAAACGCGAGTTTGCAGAGTTTTAAACGAAGCTCCAGCTGCGGAGGAGCTACACACACTTAGCTGCTAACTAGGTCAACAATGAGCAGCCATGCACAGAGAGGGCTGCTGGTTAACCCGAGTTAACGAGTCAGACACCAGCTTCACCAACTAACTACTAGAGTTCAGATACTCGGAGAGTTTAAATACTTCACTGAGAGTTTAAATACTTCACTGAGAGTTCAGATACTCTACTGAGGGTTTAAATACTTCACTGAGGGTTCACAGTACTTTTCTGAGGGTATAAGTACTCTGCTGAGAGTGTAAATACTTTACTGAGAGTTTAAATACTGTAAACACATGAACTGAAGTAAAGCTGAAGCTGGACTCAGCAGAGAAAAGTTTTAAACAGAAGTGGAACACGTTAGACAAAGATCTTAGAGAACCAGGATCATTAGAACCAGGATCAGTAGAACCAGATCAGTAGAACAGGATCATTAGAACCAGGATCAGTAGAACCAGATAAGTAGAACCGGATCAGTAGAACAGGATCAGTAGAACAGGATCGTTAGAACCGGATCAGCAGAACCGGAGGGACGTGTTGTTCTTACCTCGTCTGAAGAATGAATGAAGCATCAGCTGTGGCGCCGGCGCCAATCCTTATGTATGCCACTGCGCATGCGCGTTCCCGGTTCACAGAAACGCGCTAAACGTTTAAATTCGATTTTCACGTCGCGGCAAAGACTCGAGCGTTGAACCGGAGCCGGTGACGCAGGTTCCCGGTGACGCAGGTTCCCGGTGGAGCGGCTCGTGAGCAGCGTCACACCGAGATCAACCGGAGGATTGTTCCCCACGTTCACTTCTAACGGGCAGCGAGTCTCCGGGAGCTGTTGTGACGTAAACGACGCTTCCCGTCAGTTCCGGTTGCAGTTTAACGGCGCGGCTGACGCGCAGGAATCCACCGGCAGCGGGAAATCTCCGTGATTATTTTACCTCACGAAGTTTTTGGCGATTATTTTACGCGGCACCAGAACAGCTTCCGCGTCCGAGCCCCGCCTGTGGGAGGGGCCCCCGTGACGTCCAGCCAATGAGAGAGCGAGCAGCGGCCGCCGCGTGCTACCTCCTGGATGTAAACAGAGGGAGCACGTGGGTCAGCTGTCAAATACATAGACACCTTGTAATCGAGTAAAAGTACCACATTCACTTTTGTACTTGAGTTAAAGTACCTGAGTACTTGACTTTAAATACACGTCAGTGTTAAAACTTTAAAAGAAATGAAAACTCAGTTTCCTCTACAGGAGGAAAGAGTCTCCATCATCTGCGTCCTTGTCTGCGGAGACATTGTGTCTCACTCGGTGGATGAGACAGACACAGTCCTCTCATGTTGTTCATCACCTGAGCTCTTCCCTCGGTTGAAACCGGATCGGACAGAACCAGATCCAGTTGCTGCTTCACTTTGTCCACGCACCGATATTAAAAACCTGGACCCACTGACAGTTCTAAACACAATGATTTACAAACTACAGTCGTGAGTTCATCTCAATGTGGCTGCCTGACTAAATAAAGATTAAATGAATACAAGTAAAAGTACTTGTGGAGTGCTTCTGTCTACTACATCATTAATTCCTGTATATTGTGTTTAATATGGAAATGAAGATGAGGCCACCTTGTCATGTTGATTATTAGAAAGTATAAGAGTTTTCCATCACACCTGGAGAATATGATTTATAACTGCATTTATTATTATAAACTCTTTTTTAGAAAACTGCAGAGTACAATAACTCACACAGTGATTTGAATGAAGCTTTGAGATAAGACTGGATAAGTTATATTAATTAGTCCTTCGTACATGTGTTGATAAATTGAGACAAAAGGAAATAAATGTGCAGCTGAAGAACCAGAGACAGGAGAGCTGTGTATGAAAACATTTATTATAGGCTAATAAGAGATCACATGTGTTAACTATGACAGTTCAAAAACAGATGACCCTGTGCTTCAATAAGCATCTTTTTTTGTTTCTGACATCAGAGAATCGATCATTCATTCATCAAATAAAGGAGAACAGATATGTAGATAAATAAAACGTTAACCTAAAATTCCTAAACCTTTTTTTGTTTTTGGCAAAGTGCTGCATTATTCCAGTAAACTACACAAAAAACAGCTAAACAATCGTCTAACACTTGGTGAAAAAAATGCCACAAAATATTCTTCACACTTTTCTTTAAATAAACAACAGGAGAAAGGAGGTTTTGCTACATCATTGTCTGGTTTGTTGAGTCGTTATATAAAAGACGTACACGGGCTGGGCGTGTGCCCGAGTGATGCATAGTTGGTTTCTGACGTCTGTTTGTGTGTCTGTGTATCTCGTCCACTAAGGACATTATAAAAAAAAAAAAGAGAGAGTTCAAGTTCTTCATTGATGCATTGTCATTACAACATTTCAACCTGGAAGGCACATGATCCACAAAGTTCAAGGCATCAAACAAAAAGAAAAACATTACAAATCCCTGTTAGTTTGATGATGGCGAGAACAGAAACTAAAAGTCAAATATTAAAGGCTCCTGACAGATCGCCGTCTCCTCCGATCCCTTTGTTTCTCAAAAAACAACAGAAACACAAAATTACATTGTCCATGATTGCAAAGCTTGATAACAGAGGGAGACATTCGAGAAGAGAAAAGCTCAAATACACCAGAGAGAGAACCACTCCACTATCGTTAGGATTACTTACAGACACCCAACAAGCGCACAAAGCGTTAGTGCTTTCTTATTAATGCTACCGTCCCATCAGCTGAGGTCGGCTGCCAGATTCAGAGATTCAGCTGCCACACTGCAAAAACGTCTCCGTCATGAGAAACTGGATCTTAACTGACCCAAAAAAAAATCACACAGCGCAGGAAAGTTTCCCGCAAGATCAATGACCTAAAGTCCAACGACAACATTTTGTTGTTTTCTCATGTTCGAGAAGAACGACACAACTGACAGGTCGGATCAAAACATCTTCCTGTGAAACACTGAAGTTTGAGATCATTCACGAGCACAAACGAGACTCAGTCCATTACTTCCACAAATGATAAAAAACAGACATCACCGAGAATTATAAGATTCTTTGTGTAAAATGGTTAATAAAAATCCAAATGTAGTTTGACAGGAACGTGTCTCAAGTCTGAGTCAGTGTCTCATTATTTGTCTCTCACCGTGTTCATTTTCAGTTTTGTCCTTTCTAACAGTTCATCCTTTCTTCTCTTAACATGAATGAGTGGATCCAGTCCCTCTGTTCAGCTGCAGTGTGGCAACTCGGCTCGGGCTCCACTTTCCCTACAGCGGACACTAAAACCGCTTCGCCACTGATTCAGAGCCACGAGACCAAGAGCTGTTAACGATTACAAGATAAACAACTAATGAACAAAAAACACAAAAGATCAACTAGTGAAAGGTTAAAGGTCACGGCTACTTTTTGGTTTAAATATTTTAACAGTTTAAGAAAATGTAACTACGTTAACATGAAATAGAACAAATAAAAGCATAACATACATTTCTAAAACCATGTTATAGGTACACTTGAGCAATAAATATATATCTATATATAGATATATATATAAAAGGACAAACTAGTTTCTCTCCATCTTGATGGATTTCCAACAGTCAACTGAGCATCAAGCATCATTTTCACAGTCCTGGGACCAGGAAACGTTTCCGAGACACCAAATTAAAAGTCAATAGTTCCTCGGGGGGGAAAAGCTCGGACAGAGCTGGAAAAGTGTGAGCAAACAAAAAAGAATCATCGGCCGTCAAGTAAATCTGCATTTTCCTTAAGTGTAAGTGATTGGTTGTGACCCTGAGAAGTGAACTGCAGATTCATTTAAGAGCAAACAAAAAAGAATCATCTTTTTCCATTTTCTTTTTCAGCCGTCATGACACTGACACAACTCTACAACCATGCAACACGTTAACGTAACCAAACATACCGAAGCAGGAAACCGTGGACACACACAAACCAACTTCATACTGATATGTAATCTGTTTTTTTCTTTTCAAAAAATATTTTGGAAGTTTTTTTAAATACATTTTTTTATATTTCTTTTCATCTCAAATCTACCGTTAAAACAAGGCGTTTAGTGATATTCAACCGGTAAATTTTACCGTCATTTTTTTTCTTCTATCAAAAAGATATTGTGAAAACTACTGAATTACAAAGTCAGAGGCAGGTTCGAGCGGCGCCGCAGGACGAGAGCAAACGTTCCAGGATCCACGCGAGGTGAAAGAATCAGGGAACGACCTCCACAAAAGATCTAAAACTTTGGGAAACGCTGTGGTGATGAGTTTAACATTGATCACATCACGAGGTGATGTTGATCCGTCAGAGTCAGGGAGTGATGGCGTCTATCTACGTCTGCAATCGACGATCACAAAGGAAGAAACACGACAGAGCAGAGCTCGGACCAAACTAAGGCAAAGCAGCTGCAGTAGAGGATTGAACGCCGCTCGTTACAACTCGATTTAAACCAACAGTGATGAAGTGTTTGCTGCAGGTCGGACTTAAAGCAAAACAGGAAGTGATTTATAAGTTTGAAGTAACGCAGCAAAAGTTTGGACTCAGAAGATTAAGAAAAAAAGAATGGTGGTGAAACATCGAAGCAGCTGAGGCGGAGATATCACGACGTTTAGTTCACGCTGGGGTAAAACTCCAAAAACATTTCCCATAATGCAACTTGTCTCAACAGCCTCAAACTCTCAAATGAGTCTGTAGTGATTTTGCTCTGAATCAAATCTTCTATGATCACGATTCATCTCGTAGCAGGTCGGACTCGCTCCAGGAGTCAACAGTGGGCGCTCACTTCCACGCTCGACTGGATGAAATTACAGGAACAGGAAATGTCGAGACTATTTGAGGAGGCTTTTCCTTTAAAGTTGTGTTTGAACTGACACCCGAGCGCAGCGTTCGCACCGGAAACTCTTTGGGCAACTTGTCTCGAAGCCTGGCCACACCCCTCCTGCGCTG